GGGGGATTTTCAAGAGCCGAAGCCGGCCTATCCCTCACTATGGGGGACGTAAGGAGCCATAAAAGGCCTATCCCTCACTCTGGGGAACGTAGGGAGCCAAAAGGCCTATCCCTCACTATGGGGGACGTACTAAGCCAACCATCATGCATTAATGGAGGCCTTACCACGTGGTAATAACAGACAAAACTCTCACCAATTCCCAATTAATGCATCATGCTCAAATCATAATCAAAGAGTAATAATCATTTCACAATTAACCTCATTCAGTGGCTTATCTTTCACAATTCTGAAATTCATTCATCATTAGTCGAAACCCCACAAGACGGTTTTCCTTTTTATACACAACATACAGTTTGAACATAATTACTATTTAAAGCACAAAACATAAATCTACTCACAACACCACAGAAGCAAGTACTAAGGATTGGAAAGTGGTTACCTCTCGTCTGAGCAAGGAACAACAAGCCAACGATGTGGCCCCGTGCACCACCAAGACTCACAACCGATCTACACAAGCACACAAACACACAACCATCATATATTAGCTTTCAAACTAATAATGTGGCCAAAACAACACTTGGGGACACAAAATTCCTATCTCCCATCAAAACTCTATCCTACTCAAAGGGTATAACTATCAAGGCAACACTCCAAAGTCATACCAATCCATAAAAACCTTAATTCCTTTCCAAACATCAATTAAAATTCATAACCTCAAGGACCCACTATAGGAATTCTACACCCAAACATCTATTTGAGCAATTAAGGTTCCAACAACAAATCTAAACCGATTAAACATCCAATTTAACCCTCCTTAACATAACCCAATTCACAAAACTCAGAATCAATCTCTACATTGTCATCCTCAATCCCAAATCATCCATTTCCATAAACCCTAACTCCAAAAATTCAAGATTCTTTAAATCCAAGGAAACTACACCGATTAAACACTTAAACTAACCCAAAGCAATCAATTAAACTCAAAACAATCGGTCAAAAACCTCAGTTTCATCACAACCTAGAAAATCCTAGGGTTCCACCACAAATCCTCAAAAATTCCAAGAAATTCCAAGAAAGAAAGAAGATTAGAGGTTAAAATCACTTACTTGAGGAAATGGATCCTTAGAAATGTTTTCCCCAAGCCTCAAAACCGAAACCCTAGCAGAGCTCCTCTCTCCTCCTTCAGATTTTCTAATTTTCGCACAACTGAACCCTCCAGCAACTATATAGATTCGGGACCTTTCGCCGCGGCGAACTAATCCCGAGAGGGATTACTTGCCTGAAAACCCGACTTCGCCGCGACGAACTCTAATCTTCGCCGCGGCGAAAGCTTCCTGAGAGGAAACTCTCGCTCGCTCAGAAAAACTTCGCCGCGGCATGCCCTTACCTTCGCCACGGCGAAACCTTCCCGAAAGGGAAGTCTCGCTCACCTGAACAACTTCGCCGCGGCCAAACCTTCCCGAGAAGACACTCCCCTCTGAAACTCCCGGTGTGCCGCGGCGAAGGGAACATACCCTGAGAGGGGTACGTTCACCTATTCCTCCAACAAACCTCAAATCCAACCCAAACACCAAGATCAAGATTAAATTGCTAATCTATCCTCAAAATAAACCCAAAAGAGGCTATTAAAATCCGATAAGGCTTAGGATGTTACACTACACACTGTATCGCTTCAGGTTATTATCACTACTTTACAACCATTTTCCATTGTTGGCACAAGAACTCCAACTTTTTCAATAGAGAATGGTTGCCAAACATCATCCAAAATTAGTGCAAATGTCTTCCTTCTTTTAAAAGCTTCTAACAATTTTGAAGCTCTTGCTCTTCCGTCATTAGTTTCATTAAAGTTCAAACCCAACTTCACAGCTATATCTGGTTGCACCTTATTTGGATCATTTGATGCTTCCACCTAAATAATGCAATTGTATGGACTATTTCCTTTCACTAGGCAGTTGTGAATCTCTGACATGATAGTTGTTTTACCCACTCCTCCCATTCCCCAAACACCAATCCTTCTGGTATTTGTATCATGTAAGAATAATCTCCAAATCTTCGTACAGATTTGCTTATATGTTTCGTATTCCACCATTGGAATTACAGACAAAACACCACCTCTCTTATTTCCAGGAATAGCCATTGTAATCCTCTAAATGTGGAACATTCTCTCTAAGTTCATGAATATCTCTGATCTTTTCCTCAATAAGTTTCCCCAACATGATTCTTGAACAAATGAAACAGCATCCATTAGTTGGTCTGTGTGGGCCATTTTCATCCATGAGGCTACTTACATCTGTTTTTACCTGATCAACTTGGTTAAACCATAAATTACATTCATTTGTTGGTGCTGCCCCTTTTAGATGCCACAATTGATTCAGTTCGTGTTCAACATCCTTTTTACGAGCATCCAGCATTTGCATCAAATTGTTCAGCTGTTGAATATTCCTCTTGGATGTTTTGAAGTGTTTATAATTGTTTCTAAATATTTCATGCAGAGAGCAACACAAGCCTATGATGCTTGACACACTTGCAGCAACTTCCATGGTTGGCTCCAAGGAATTCAAACAAACAGAGCTAGTGTATCCTGTCAGCTACACATTGAAAACATAATGACAAGTCAAATATATGATCTCCAAAACTTTATATGAGGGAACAATATGAAGAGCAGGAATATATCTGAACAACGATATCCTAGTACACAAGACTAATTCATGCTTCTGTGTGATGTGTGCAATGTGCGAGCAAGTGAAAGGGTAATGTCAGGAGCAGCGTGAACTATCAAACAGTCGAATGTTACTTTAGTCGAGTATTCAAGGTATTGCAATAAGCTGACAGAAAAATTTAAAGTGTTGTTTATCAACCGAGGCTGTTGAGTCACTTCGAACCAGGTTGCACAAGGCTCGTTCAAAACACAAAAAATGCCAAATCCGGATCTTGCATAAGCTAAAGCTGAATCCGCAGGAAAAGGAAATGCAAAAAGCAAAAGGAGAGAAAAATAGAGGGGGAGGAAATAATCGTACCAAGCTTCTATTTCAACACAAAAACTCAGAGATTCTGGTCACAGCATCGCAGTCCATCACCCTTGCTCTGCCTCTTCTGAAATCAGCCATGTCCTTTGTGGTTCTTCAAAATGACTGATTCTGTGTTATGTTTCTATCCTTCTCTTCCATCCACATTGATGGAGAGAAGGTCAAAAGAGAGGGGAGTGATGTAGAAAACAAAAACAAGAAAAAAGTGACAAGAATTTGTGTATTTTAAAACGAAGAGGAGATGTATTATAACCTGCTTCCTTCGTGGGTATCAAAAGAATAACCTACCCCCTTTAGTTCTTCTTTCTAATTTACAGTTTTCTTACTAACTCTGTATTATAAATTATTCTTTTATTTTTGATAATATTTATATTTTATTAAAAAAAAAAAAAAGGAAACAGAAGAAGAGGTGATTTCGGGACACTATCTTCTCCTTCTTTTTTCCCCCCTTTTTTCCTTTTTCTTTTCTTTTCCCTTACTATCGTTTTGTAATTTCATATGTTTAAATTTAATATTTTATAAAATTATTATAATATTATATATATATAAATTTGTACTATTATAATTTGATCAATATTTCTGTAAAATGTTATTAAAATTTAATGAGGATACTTTATTATAACTTTAAATTATTCAAGTGAAATTTTAATATCTTAAATCTATTTATGTAAAATTATTATTAATAATTTAGGACAATTGCTGAGAAATCTCTCCTTGCAGAATTTATTATCAAAGATACCTGAAATTTAGTTAATGACTCAAGCGCAACTTATCTTTCATTAATGTAACTTTTTTTAACTGTGTGCAATCTATCTTTAATTATATATAAAATGAAAAATATTTGCATATAAATAAAAATAGATTATATATAGTTGAAAAAAATTACATGCATTAAAAAATGAGATTGAACCAGTCCGTCTCCTCCCTTCCAAAACCCTTCGCTCATAAGTAAGTGCATCGTATTTAAAAATAGTTGTCACTTTAAATAAGTTAATATTTTTAAAAAAAATACTATTTTAACACAATAAATTCAGAATTTATTTCCATAAACTTTTAATGGTAAATATTTATAATTATACTTATGATTTTGTGCTGTCTAAATAATAAATAAGAGTAGTAAATAATATTTACTTGTAAATTTTTGTTATTTTAGTAACAAATACTTGTAGTTTCACGGGGAAATTAATATTATATTAACCCTATAAATAATTTCAATATGTTTAATAATATAAAATGTTTTATTTAAAACATTATTTTTTTTATTTAATATCCTTCATTAATCATAGAATTTCTCAACTAGTGGATCAAATTCTTATCTAGGATTATTTTGATATTTTATAAAAAAATAATTATTTTTAACTAATTTTATTTTATGTAAAATTTTGTTATATGCTTGTAATAAGAATTGAAAGGAATAATTAATATTGCTAGCAAAAAAAACAGAAGGGAATAACTAATATTTATATTTGTCCTAAATACACGCAATTGGCAGCGCTATGATTGAATATTATAGCTGAATTGTTGAAGTGATCACTCTCAAATTTTCAAGAGGCATACATAAGCATAGCTGCTCCTGAAAAGAAGGTCGTTGTCTGAGTTTGAAGGGAACTGCAAATTTCTTTTAATTTATAATTAAACTAATTTAAGTTAAAAATACAACAACAAAAAATATTCCCATGGGCACAGTTCAATGATAAAAAAATAAAAATCAGTGTATATGGGAGTGAGGAAAATTCTTAATTATGAAATCATAGTCCATGTTTTTTATTATCAACACAAACTGGCCTTCTCTGTCAATCTCCATTTTACAAAGTCCAATTTCACGCCTCTGATGTCACTGAACTGTTCCAGAGAATCAAACGCATTTTCTAAACCCGAACGTATTTTACTGTTGTTCATATTTTCTAACCCGATCCACTTCGCTTCTTTATGTACTTAAAATCGTAATCCTACCTTCCGCAGTCTGATATCATCTTATTCATCAACAACAACAACAACAACAAATCAATTGGTTCCACAAATTTGCTGATGAACTATACAATATTAGACAATCCCTTATGAATTTGGCTTCTGGGTTTCTGAGAACTTCGTCCCGGAAACTTAGTAGGATGCAGAGGCTTTGAATTGTAGTCGATCCAATAGAGCACAAGCACGATGACGATCGAAGAAACACACATGGGAATCGGCCCAAAAAACCATAGCAACAAGTTAAGAGCGAAATAGAGAGCTCGAAGACCCAGTGACCAGAACTCGGTTCCTCTTATGACTGCATTTTCTACACTGTTCACTGGTACTGGTAAGTCCATATCTGGTGTGCATATGAGGTAATTCACATGAACGAAGTGTCTGGTTGATTGAACGAAGCATGAGAAAGCAAGGAGGAAGCAGGTTAGTAAGCATATGTACTTGATGGAGATGGTGATTGATCTTGTGTCTCCATAGATTAATTCACTCTGGAACACGTTGTTTTTAGTGTTGGCTATCCAAGCTCCGATTAGAGAAGAGATCGTTAAGGAAATTGTGGCTAAGAAAGTTGCAACCGATATGTTCGATGAAATTACTGAGAGAGCATTGCGAACATCCCTGTTTTGCATCTGATCACCATGTGGGGATAAGGGAAAAAAAACGCAGATTAATATGACCAAGTAAGTAGCTAGCCCATGACCTTAATATTGTCAAAAACAGAACATCAAACTTAAACTTATAAGATGATGAGGTTGAGTCAAGCTTATCGGTCTCATATTGAATAGAGATGCATATCTGACTTCTCAACTAAGTATCAAAATCATGATTTCGGGTTGGGATTAAAACCATGGTTTTGATGGTTTCCTATGAGAAATCAAACGTGAACTCTATTGCTATGTATTTCATTTGTTGTGTACCGGCCGGAGACCGATGACTATCCAGAAATGAAGAGGGATTCTCCTTTTCCCCCTCAATCTTTTATTAGAACTCAACATTAAGATCCAACTAGCGTGCAGGAGCGAAGTTGAATTTCGTGTACATATGAAGCATTCGTACTTGAGGGGAAAAAAAATGATACTATTCATTTATATATATATCCATATTATGTTGTGTCTGGTAATGGAAATTGAGGCTACTTTATTATGCAGAAAACTGAAGGGAAGCATGAGAATGAAGGAGAGAAGAAGAGCAAGAAGGAGGACTTGCCTGCATGATTCTAAGAACCCATTCTCTTTTGTCGTTGTTCTCGAAGCCCATACTTGTGGTGTGAGGACGATGAAGGTACCTGTAAAGGAGAAATAAGTGGTAAAGAAACATGATGAGCAATCCACAAGGAACTAGAACCAGATCAAGGTACTCCTTCTGGAAATGGAACCCCATGATTATTATTTTTACTTTCAAGGAGTTTCAGTGAAAGAAAGATTAGATGGATCAGCTAGGATGATTAATTGGGGGTTTTAATCATGATTATAACCAGATTATATGTTGCTTCGTTTTATAAACTTGGTGGGTTTCAAAAGAGGAATATACCTTCATTTTTTATTCTTAATATTTAATTTGATAGAGGCATCTTTGACCTCTCGTAATTGGACAGTTGAGATCAACTTGTACGTTGTACTTACCAACCCTGATGTGTATATCTTGAACTCATGGAATCATGGGATTGGACAGCTAATACTGTTTGTAAGAGGAAGGAATTAAAAGGGTTAAACAATTGATTTTGGTAGGAAAATTGACTTTTCAAAGGAGGAGACAGCTAACCAGAGCCGAGCGAGACATACTTATGCCAATGTAAGAACGAAATTGTAAGTTTAAAACTGTGTTTAGGAAGTTTCCGAAGCGAAGAGACCCGAACATATAACGAGCCCCACTTTTAGCGTGAGACCCGCAAAAGGAGAGCTCGGTGCAGTCAAATTAAACCAGAGTTAAAGTGATAAAGGGTAACTGAGTAATTTTACACTATTTTCTTCAAATTATTCCCAAGTTGTTGGGATCTATAAGTGATAATCCGAATTTAGGAGATTTATTAGTGATTAACTCCTTTCCTTGAGATTTGTATGTAAATTTTTCATATATCTATCCACTTTCTTCATTTCAGATGAAGTAACTTTGAAAGATTCAAATTACAATAGGAGAATATTTAACCCTTTTTTTTTTTTTGACCGGAATTTAACCCTTTTTTTTAAAATTAAAAGAGCATGCAGTAATGGTTTGCGGTTGCAAACGGAATCATGACTTTCCATTTACAAGGAGTATTAATATTACTAGCCAATCCGCGGGCTAACTCATATTTAGATTTGGAAAAATGACAACAAAATACCATGTGAATTTTAAAAAGATAAATAAGGCACCTGAATAAGCAAAATGACAAATAGGGCACTGGGTACTAATTTAGAATTTAGATTTTTGGTCTAATGACCAAATTGCCCTATCTGAAAGTGAGAGAAAGCAAAGAGGAAGATGCTGATGAAACACGGGAAGAAGAGAAGAAGAATGTTGGAAATACTATTATCTTACTTCTCCGCATCACTATTCTGTAGACATTGTTGATTTGATAGGTTTTGGTTGTGGGAAAGAGGATTTGTAGTAAGAGAGGGAGCGAACCTATAGGATTACGTGAGTGAGTAGAAGTTGATGGCGGGATTTGGATTATTCATTTTTGTGGCTGCTTTATGGTGAAATAGGAACAGGATTATTGCATTTAAGGGTTTATATTCAGTATTCGGTGAATAATGAAGCAGAAATCAGAAAACAGTGGCAAGCACTTACGTAATGTAACTGCTGTCATATGCCTACTGGTTTTTGGTAAATCCTATTACGTGAATGGTAGATTTTATTATACATGTAGTTAATTATGAAAGTTAATACATTGTCCTGTCTGAAAGAACTCGTACTCCCTGAGATTGTCGCCGTCGAAGAGGTCGCTGAAGTAACATCAACTGTGATAAACAAGTAGGAAGCTTAAATATTATTCTTCATAGAGCATTTTCGATGAGTTCCCACAGCTTAAAATGTTATTGCCTAGCATTCCTCTTTTTGGTTCTGTCTCTATTCTTCGCATAAAACCATTTTCAGAGAATGTAAAGCTGTCTGGTTTTCTAGTATTATTAAACCATTTGTCCTGAATTTTACAAAACACATATTGTGATTTACAACTTTCGTAGTGAAAGTGACCACTTTGTTAATGGGTTTTGCAACCTGTTTTCTGGAGATAAATAACTTGTTTGTAAAAACTAATAAAATTCCACGCTAAATTTGACAAAACATATAGTGGGATTTACAACTTCCGTAGTGAAAATGACCACTTATTCAATGGTTTTTGCAACTTGTTTTCAGAGGATGGGCAACTTGTTTCTAAAAACTAATAAAATTTCACGCTAAATTTGACAAAACACATAGTGAGATTTACAACTTTCGTAGTGAAAATGATCACTTCTTCAATGGGTTTTGTAACATGTTTTCAAAGGATTGGCAACTTGTTTCTAAAAACCAATAAAATTCCATGCTAAATTTTACAAACCATATAGTGAGATTTACAACTTTTGTAGTGAAAATTACCACTTCTTAAATGGGTTTTGCAACCTCTTTTCAGGGGATGAGCAACTTGTTTCTAAAAATCAATAAAATTTCACGCTAAATTTTATAAAACACACAGTGAGATTTACAACTTTTATAATAAAAATGACCACTTCTTAAATGGCTTTTGCAACCTGTTTTCAGGGGGATGGGCAACTTGTTTCTAAAAACCAATAAAATTTCACATTGAATTTTACAAAACATATACTGGGATTTACAACTTTTGTAGTAAAAGTGACCGCTTTGTTAATAGGTTTTGCAACATATTTTTGGGGGATGAGTAACTTACTTTTCACCACCAATAAAATTTCACGCTGAATTTTACAAAACACATAATGTGATTTACAACTTTTATAGTGAAAGTAACCACTTCTTCAATGGGTTTTGTAAACCTGTTTTCACCGGAAAGGCAATTTGTAAGCATAAATAAATCATTCAGTGAACGTGCACCTGAAGTACGTCACAATAAACGTTGAACTATTAACTTTCATAATTAACTACATGTATAATAAACTCTACCATTCACGTAATGGGATTTACCAAAAACCAGCAGGCATATAACAGCAATTACATTACGTAATTGTTTGTCACTGTTTTCTGATTTCTGCTTCATTATTCACCAAATACTGAATATAAACCCTCAAATGCAATAATCCTGTTCCTATTTCACCATAAAGCAGCCACAAAAATAAATAATCCAAATCCCGCCATCAACTTCTACTCATTCACGTAATCCTACAGGTTCACTCCCTCTCTTACTACAAATCCTCTTTCCCACAATCAAAACCCACCAAATCAACAATGTCTACAGAATAATGATGTGGAGGAGTAAGATAATAGCATTTCCAACATTTTTCTTTCCTTCTTCCCGTGTTTCATCAGCGTCTTCCTCTTTGCTTTCTCTCACTTTCAAACAAGGCAATTTGGTCATTAGGCCAAAAATCTAAATTCCAAATTGGTACCCAGTGCCCTATTTGTCATTTTGCTTATTCATGTGCCTTATTTATCTTTTTGAAATTCACATGGTATTTTGCTATCATTTTCCCTTTATATTTTTAATTTTTAATTATTATTATATATTGTATTCTATCTAAACAATTAAAAATTACTTATATAATTTATTTGATACTTTCAATCAAATATTTTAAGAAAAAACAAAAATCTCATTGTATTTTTTATATTGAATAACAAAATTTAAAAATAGAAAAATTTATTTAAAAAATAAATAATTATTGGCAAGTTTAACTAAGCCGCTTTCAAACAATCTTCTCAACCTGATTTATATAGTTTGAACCCGTTACGGACCAACCTGTAACTTGTTGGTTGACCTGTATTATCATTCCTAATTTCATCTACCCTGTAAAAAGTCAAAACGGGAAAAACGTGCTGTACGCGTTCTATTTCCATGGGAATCTTAATACTTTAATGTCAAAAATATAATATATTGTTATGAATATTGTGTGGATGTCCATTTACCCCTTGCTCTTCATCTTCTCCAAGTAACTTCCATTACCTCCACCATCCATTACTCCTCCACTACCCATTCACTCTTGTAACTCACCTCCATTCACATTCATGGGATTGATTATCCACTATTTGTCATTTAAGAACAATTGTAACCTATTTGTAAGACTATGCCTATAAATAGGGCATGTCATTTGTGTTGTAATGCAAGTGAAGAAATACAAAAGCAACCTCATTCTCTTGTCTTCATCTTTCTACTTTTGTGGTTTCATTTTTTGTTCTATTTCATAACCAGCAACCTCATTCTCTTGTCTTCATCTTTCTACTTTTGTGGTTTCATTTTTTGTTCTATTTCATAACACGTTATCAGTACGAGACTCTACCATCAGAATCCATGGCTTCTAGTTGATGCACGTTGAAGTTTTGTTCGTTGAATGAAGATAGTTTGATCCGAACAGTTTGGTAAGATTTCTCCAATTTATTTAGAGGAAATGATGGTTTTGCATCTTAACCATATTGATTCATTGGCAACCAAATATTTTATTTATCGTATTGAGATATGAAAATTTTTATTTCTTACTTTTCTTATATTTTTATGATCCTACTATCCTTAAGACTTATTGATTTGCTATGATGTTTTTGTTTATCTATAAAATTACTATATATGATTATCATCTCTGATATTGGTTAATTGTTGTCTTGGAAAGTAGAATGTTAAACATATAAATGAATGGCTAATAGCCATTATATTCTTGATTTTGTGATTAGATGGCCAGAAGCCACATCACGTTTTGATGATTATTTGATAAAAGACCATCTTGTGGTAGTAACAGATGGCATGACAAGACTGTCACAATTTGATAATGTATATCAAAGTCCTGAAGATTGATGGTTAAAAACTCACAATACAAAAGAACTTTGTAGTTCTGAAAATTTTGTTATAGTCCGGAAGACTAACATTTGAGAAAAATGATGATATGCTATTGAAAGCAAGGAATATATCCATAAGAGTGATAAAGAATATGATAACATTGTATCAGTGGAACTGATAACTAAAAGGGCAATAATCTTGGGACTTGACTATTGAATCATAATAGCAGAATTAGTAATGGCCCTATGATCAATATGATAAAATTATTAACTACTGTTATAATATGACCAGAAGTCATATAGACAAATATGTATTAGTTCATTGAAAAACAAATGTTAAAGAAAAATGGTTGTGGAATCAAAAAGACCATGTGATATTATGAAAATATCGAAGCTAATTTTAATGCCTGAAGGCAGTAAGTTGTGAAGAAAGATATCCAAAGTATATATAAAAATAGAAAACATATAAGTATATGCCTAGAAGGCTATGTGTATAATGTTTAATTTTTATTGGTCTTTAAATTTATTGTGATTTGTGAGAAACAAATGTTATAAGAATTTGATATTGTAATATTGATAAGTGTGTGATATAAAAACTAAATAGATCAAATAGACTCAAGAGTTACTAGTTATATTTTGTTTATTTATATCTTATTTATGTGATCTA